TCATTGTTGTTTGGCGGGCCCGGGCTGGGGATTCGAGCCCGCCACCTTAGGTGTATGTGGCTGGCGCCTTAGCCGCTTGAGCCACAGGCACCGAGCCACCACACGTCTCCTTCATCCCCACCTTGCCACACTGTGTCACTCCCTCATCTGTGTCAGATCAGAATGGCCTCTCTCTAGCAGAGTCTAAACCACAGTCCCAGGGCCATCAGTGTGGGTTTTACAACCCTCTACTTTACGTGACATCCACAGTTCTTCCCTGTCTTGCCTGACTAGCTCTTCTGTTTTATCTCTAACCAGCTGGCCCATATCTCCACACCCCTGCCAGGGCCAGCCTCTTAAAGTTCTCTACACAGACTGCCTTTTATAATTCTGTCTTGGCACACGTTTCTTTTCTCTGCCTAAAATATACTTTTTCTCTAAACTGTTTAATGGCTAAACTTTTATACTTTTAAAACCTATTGTATCTGTTACTGTCTCTCTGAAGCCTTTTCCAGATGTTTCCCAGGCACAGAGGCTTCAGGCTCCTATGTTCCCACACCCTGTTGTCCAGGCTGTGACTTTGCCTCTTCAGGGCAGAGTTGGATCCATCTTGAAGTCCCAAGTGCCTAGCTCAGGGCCCCCACAGAGCAGAAATTTTGTAGGTATTTGAAAACTGAATGAACCATTTCACCAGTTTTCCCTCCACTGTGCCTTTCTAAACCCTGTCATTGTTCCAGACCTGGTCTCCATTCTACCTTGGGGGAGATTTTCTACCCCCCTCCTTTCTCTTGTTTGCAGTACACCACTGATCATGAGATGTCTGGTGTTAGGATTTTGCCTGTAGGATAGGGATTGCAACTTGGGTCTCAGAGGTGTCTCCACAGTGGAGGCCAAGAAATGCCATCTTGGCATGGTACCTCACCCCTGTAATTTTAGCACTTGGAAGGCCAAGATGGGAGATCACTTATAGATAGGAGTTTGAGGCCAACCTGGACAACATAGCAAGACTCTATCTCACAAATAATTTTTTTTTTTTTTTTAGAGACAGAGTCTCACTTTGTTGCCCTCATTAGAGTGCCGTGACATCACACAGCTCACAGCAACTTCCAACTCCTGGGCTTAGGCGATTCTCTTGCCTCAGCCTCCTGAGTAGCTAAGACTATAGGTGCCTGCCACAATGCCCAGCTATTTTTTGTTGTTGTTGCAGTTTGGCCAGGGATAGGTTTGAACCTGTCACCCTAGGTATATGGGGCCAGCACCCTACCCACTGAGCCACAGGTGCCACTCTCACAAATAAAATTTTAAAATTATTCAGGCATGGTGGCACCACTTGCAGTCCCAGCTACTCTAGAGGCTGGGGCAGGAGGATTGCTTGAGCCCAGGAGTTTGAGGTTGCTGTGACCTATAATAGGGCCACTATATTCCAGCCTAGGCAACAGAGTAAGACTTTGTCTTAAAAAAAATAAAATAGGTGGCGCCTATGGCTCAGTGAGTAGGGCACCAGCCCCATATACCTGGATTGGTGGGTTCAAACCCGGCCCTGGCAAACTGCAACAACAGGCTCGGCGCCTGTGGCTCAAGCAGCTAAAGCACCAGCCACATACACCTAAGGTGGCGGGTTCAAATCCAGCCCAGGCCCGCCAAACAACAATGATAGCTGCAGCCAAAAAATAGCCGGGCGTTGTGGCGGGCGTCTGTGGTCCCAGCTACTTGGGAGGCAGAGGCAGGAGACTCGCTTGAGCCCAGGAGTTGGAGGTTGCTGTGAGCTGTGATGCGACGGCACTCTACCCAGGGGGACAGCTTGAGGCTCTGTCTCAAAAAAAAAAAAACTGCAACAACAAAATAGCTGGGTGTGTGGCAGGCACCTGTAGTCTCAGCTACTCGGGAGGCTGAGGCAAGAGCATCAGCTAAGCCCAAAAGCTAGAGGTTGTTATGAGCTGTGATGCCACAGCACTCTACCAAGGGCGACAAAATGAGACTCTGTCTCTAAAAAAATAAAATAAGTTAAAAAAGTAAAATATGTAACAACAAGAACAACAAAAGCCAGCTTGATTGATAAAATCTTCTTGTCTTCTAGGGTCCTCTGCTTCCATGCCTGGTATGAACAACTTGGGTCCTTCCAACTCCAGCTGTCCTCGAGTATTCCCTCAGACTGGGAATCTGATGCCAGTGGGCCCTGGACATGCTTCGGTTTCCTCTCTCCCCTCAAACTCAAGCCAGCAGGACCGGGGTGTGGCTCAGTTCACCAATTCTCAAAGCATGCCTCAGACCAGCCTGTATGGCATGGCCTCTAGCATAACTCAGATAGTTGCCCCTCCACAGGCCACCAATGGACATACCCACATCCCACGGCAGACCAGCGTGGGCCAGAACACCTCAGTTTCAGTTGCCTTTGGGCAGAACTCTCTAGGAAACTCTGGCCTCTCCCAGCAACACAATAAGGGGGCCCTTAACTCTGGTTTAACTAAACCACAGGTCCCAAGAGTGTCAGCAGCCATTGGAGGCCAGAATCCCTCATGGCAACATCAGGGAATACCAAACCTGAGTGGCCAAGCCCCAGGGAACAGCAGCGTAAGCCCCTTTACTGCAGCTTCCAGTTTCCACATGCCACAGGCCCATCTGAAAATGTCTAGCCCGCAGTTCTCCCAGGCGATGCCCAGCAGGCCCATCGCTCCTATGAGCTCAGCAGCTGTGGCGGGGTCCTTGCTGCCTCCAGTGAGCGCGCAGCAGAGGACCAGTGCTCCTGCCTCAGCACCTCCCCAGGCACCCCCGCAGCAGGGCTTGCCCAGCCTGAGCCCAGCAGGGCCTGAGCTGGGGGCCTTCAGCCAGAGTTCAGCCTCACAGATGGGCAGCCGGGCCGGGCTGCACTGTGCCCAGGCCTACCCTGTGCGGACCGCGGGCCAGGAACTATCCTTTGCCTACAGTGGGCAGCCAGGCAGCAGTGGGCTGTCCAGTGTGGCTGGGCACACCGACCTGATTGATTCCCTGCTGAAGAACAGGACTTCAGAGGAGTGGATGAATGATTTGGACGACCTTTTAGGGTCTCAGTAGTGGAGGGACTTAACGGTAGTTTTAGTATTCATATATTCTATATTTTGTTCTTGGATTTAAGAAAACTACTTTGGACCAAAAGCCTGTGGCCCAGAGAGCTGGGCAGGCAAAGTCTGAGCCCTGGCTAAGATGTAGCCTGGTCAGGGTCTGTGGGCATGTGGCTCCCAGGCCAGCAGTTGTGGTCTGTCGGGCTGGCCCCAGCCCATCTGCTGGCATCATCACCTGGTGGTGGGACAGGAGGATAGGATTCTAAAGGTGGTATTCCATCCAAATGACCAAAAAAACAACAGTAACAACAGTGAAACCCCAGCATTGGGCTTATAAAACCTGTGCCAACATATTGACTTTATCCAAGAATTCTCCACTTGCCCCAGTGTTGGGGACAAGTTTTTGTTGAAACTTTATATAGCAGAATTATTTGCAATTTGTAGCATAGAAAAGATTTTTTAAATTTTTTAAAAAGAGTTTTTAAACAGATTAGGATAGGTGGTGGTTTAAATCGATCAAGTGGCATTGGAAACCCCTGGGTTTCCTTTTGATTAAGAGCCTTTTCTGTTTCTGCTTTGTCAGTTTTCAAGGGAGAAGGAGGGCCATTGGAAAATCATTTCCATAAATACGTGCTGTGACTGCGTATGCCAAAAAGGAATAGGATGCCTTGGGATAGCAGATCGGCTAACATAGATAGGGTCTTCCTAGCAGCTCCTCCTCCTTCCTGGGTCCCTAGGAATCCCTTCCTGCCATGCTCTGGCAGCAGAAGCCCAGGTAAATGCTGCAGATAGAGTTTTGGGGTTCCTGTGTCCTCTGCCATACCACCCCACCTTCTGAAGTTCCTCCAAATGCTTGTGTTGAATGCAGTGGGATCATGGTTACTGTGTGGTTGTGCATAAGTATCTTTCTTTTACCCGTCTTCAGTTCCCATGACCTTTCTCCCTCTTCTCTCTCTCCAGCCAAAGTAAAAAACAATGATTTACTACATTGGGGGGAATGAAAGAGTCTCTAGAGTCCCTGGGGGAACCCTAGCATTGCAGAGGTTTTGGGGAAGGAGGCTACAGGCTGGCCCAGAGGAAGGAGCTTCACTTTGCTTGATGATTTCTGCCGCTCACATGTTGGACGACTTGCACTTTTTTTAAGAGATTGCTTTGTAACACTAAAATAAACTTTTTAAAGATTCAGGTGGACTTGAATAAACTTGAGAGTCCACAAGATAGAATTTGGCATGTGGACTGTTTGTGAAAAAGGAAGCTGGAGAGGGCACTTCCCCATAGTGAAAGCACGGCGGTAAGCACAGGCGAGACCCTACACAGGGTGGTGGAGAGAGGAGTGCACTGAAGAGTGGCTTCTACCCAGAGTGGTCTGAGAGAATCCACAGCTCTATTTTTATGTTTCTGGAGTCTCAAAATTGATCATTCAAGGAGCATAATACCTGAAGAATTGAGCCAAGAAAAGTATTCACACAACCAGCCCAAGTTGCTTCAGGGGGCTGAGAAGGTTGTACACACATTGGTAATTATTTTGCACCAGCAGTGCCTTTCTCACTGAGGTTACTTAGACCTTCAGATTTTCTTCTCTAATAGCCATTTGCCACCCTGAGTGGTGTATGGGCCATTTCTCCTTAAAACACCCCCCCCTGCCTTCCCCTTATGTTTAGTTTAGCTCTCAAAGAAGATGAATCATAAGGCCAGTGAAGACTCCACCCTCTGAATGAGTTCCCCAATCTGAAGGGGAAGAGGGTGACTTCAGTGGGTTTTCTGCCAAAAATAGGGCTGACAGCTGGTTATGGATCCTTTTCCTCTCCTGTCTCCCTCCGGCTGCTGCCAGCCTCCTGCCTCTGTCCCCGGGGCACTCACTGGCCCCTGCACTCTGCCTTAGTCCTGGGCTGGCCACACTGCCTGGGGCTCCTCACTTGCTGCAATGTCATAGCAATAAAATGTGATTCTTGGGGTCCCCCCAGGAGCTTCCCATGGCTTTATTTATAAATCTGGCTTTGGGAGTCACAGGAGGAGATACTGCTTCTGTGCACAGCCCTGTCTTCCAGGAGCCACGACTCAGAAGAAAAGGGTGCTCGGACTTTTATTATACACATTTGCTTTGTGTAAATAAATGTTTACAGTTTTATATTAAAAGACGGAATAAGCGTTAGAGCTTCCAACTGTATATTTTTTACTTTTATAGATTTAAAAACTATGATCCTTTATATATGTGTTTTTGGGGAGCTATGACAAGTTTTTTGGCAAACAGTTGGTATTGTTAACTTTTTATTGTCATCAAAAGTGCATAGAAATCCTATTAATCCCCTTATTCTTCTACTGCCCTTAACTCTGGTATACACCAAAAAAATTTTCCTTGTCCTGTCATTATAAAAAATAATAAAAGTATTTTGCTAGTATGGAAACTGCCTGTGTATTTGACTTCACCTAGGGTCTGCTGGCAGTGGGAGTTGGGTAGTTGATGTCCTTTTATGCTTTAGCTGCTTACTGTGCATTATTGGAATAGGAGAGCTAACATCAGAGAAACAGTCTCTGTCCTGTCTGGGGCTCTCCCATGTCCTTGTGTCTAATGTGAGGGAAGTTGGACTAGATAACTCAGTGGTATCTTAGGTCCTTAGTGGTTCTGATGTTTTATTTAAAACTCCTAGGTAGGCTCAATGCCTGTAGCTCAGCAGCTAGGGCGCCAGCCACATACACCAGAGCTGGTGGGTTTGAACCGAGCCTGGGCTAGCCAAACAACAATGACAGCTACAACCAAAAAATAGCTGGGTGTTGTGGTGGACGCTTGTAGTCCCAGCTACTCAGGAGGCTGAGGCAAGAGAATCACTTAAGCCCAAGAGTTGGAGATTGCTGTGAACTATGTCACCATGGTACTCTGCTGAGGGTGACAAAGTGAGGCTCCGTCTCAAAAAATAAAAACTCCTAGGTTGCCCTGGCGTGGTGGTTCACACCTGTAATCATAACACTCTGGGAGGCTGATGTGGGTAGATTGCCTGAGCAAGAACAAGACCTCATCTCTTAAAAAAAAAAAATAGCCAGTTGGGCAGTGCCTGTGGCTTAAAAGGGTAGGGCGCCGGCCCCATATGCCGGAGGTGACTGGTTCCAACCCAGCCCTGGCCAAAAAAAACAAAAGAAAAGCCAGGTGTTGTGGCAGGCACCTGTAGTTCTAGCTACTTAGGAGACTGAGACAGGAGAATCTCTTGGGTGGCACCTGTAGTTCAATGGGTAAGTCGCCAGCCACATACACTCAGACTGGCAGGTTAGAACCTGGCCCAGGCCAGCTAAACAGCAATGACAACTACAATAAAAAAATACGTGTTGTGGTGGGCGCCTGTAGTCCCAGCTACTTAGGAGGCTGAGGCAAGAGAATCACTTAGGCCCAGTTTGAGGTTGCTGTGAGTTGTGACGCCATGGGCATCAAAATAAAACTGTTAGGTTTACCCTCAAAGCATTTACCCTACTGAGGGTGACAAAACTGTTAGGTTTACCCTCAAAGCATTTACCCTACTGAGG